CTTAGATTCCAGAGCAGGGATCAAACCCAAGCCCCTGGCAGTGAAAGCATGGAGTTCTAACTACTGGACTGCCAGAGAATTAATGCCCAGCAATAAAGGATATTTAAATTAAGGTAAATATATATATATATATATATATTTAGATATAATGCTATTGCACATTTTACAGGCTACAGTATACTATAAACAACTTTTACATGTCCTGAGAAACCAAAAAAAGCTATATGACTTGCTTCACTGTATTGTGGGCATCTAGACCCAAACCCTCAATACAGCAGGGAGGGTTGTATCTTAAAGTCTCTATAGTGGCCAATTTCCTTCCCTCTCTTTCCTCCTTCCAGCTACTCATGATTCTGTCTCAGAGACAGGATCATACATTCATCTTAAGTCACGTTCACTGATCTGACCCTCGCCCCTGCACGAATCACTGCATCAGGCCGGAGGGGAAGCAGAAGTCACACAGTCCTGGTGCCCAGGCTCTGGGGCTCAGGGCAGCTGGAGAACTACAGGGATTCTGAGGTATCTGTGATGACTGAGAACCTCCACAGAAGCAACCTAAGAGCGGTTCTAGTGTGTCCTTATCTGAGGGGAAACAGGAGCACAGAGATTAAGCACCTTCCTCACATTCAAGCCACTAGTAAGTGATAGCATGGCACACAGCCTGGCTCTCTTGTCAACTCTCTGCTCTTGGCAAAGCACTCCCTTCCCCCACTTCCCCACAGGAGGGCTTGTCTTTCCCCCAGCACACAAACCTGGTTCTTTCGAAGAGGGAGACTCCAGGCTTTGCCCACAGAGGGACCCCTAGCACAACAAAGAGCCTCAGAAAGTACATGAGCAGCTTGCAGAAGAGACCAGATCTCACCCAATGACTCAGCAAAACCCAGAGGAAAGGGGATAGGAGGGTGTGAAGCAGAAAGACCAGGCTCTAATTATTCCACTTAAAGGACAGAATCCAACTCCTGGCCTGGGACCTGAGCCCACTCTCACTGGGCCCCGACCTACCTCATCCCCAGTCCTGCTACAGCCAACCAGGCAGTGAGACATTCAGATGTACCTATGCACCATCTTCTCAAGACAGACTGTGCCCGAGAGTTCCCAGGAGTCCAAAACCTAGGGCTGACTGTACCCCACAGCCCAGGGCCCAACAGACCACACACTGCAGTCCACATCTGTCCCCATCCTCCTTCCCAGGCACACATCTCAGCTCTTTGTTGCTCTCCAATTATTAATAGTTGACTGAGGGTGACGATGAGCTGGGAGGTGAGGTCAGGCTATGCTCCTCCAGAACCAAGGGGCTCCACCCACACCACACACCTTCGAGGTTCCTGTAGTTCTCCAGCTGCACTGAGCCCCAGAGTTAGGACTCCAGGATTGTGTGACTTCTGTATCCCTCCTGTGCCTCACACAGTGCCTCAAACAGAAGACAGGGTCAGATCGGTGAATGTGACTTAAAATGAATAGACTGTCCTGTCTCTGAGACAGAATTATGAGTAACTGGAAGAAGGAAAGAGAGGGAAGGAAACTGCCTACTATAGAGACAAGATAAAATCTTCCCAAGAAGGCACCTACCTATGGAAGAAAAACCCAGAACCAATTACATTCTTAGAAATCTCAGTACAACCCCAGAGAGGGGGCCAATAGCCGCAGGGCCCTTGGATGATCAGGAAAAAACATTATGTCCTTGACACCTAAGATCACTCTTAATGTGTCTCAACTCAACTAATGCCAGCCACATCCAAACTCCTGAGATTTCTGCTTCCTCCACACTTTCCAGAACTCTGAGCCCAGACAACAAAAGGACCTGAGCTTTTCTCTTCCACACAGGAAAAGGAGAGTCACTGACAGCTGCCCATAGAATCCAGACACTCTGACTGGGAGCCCAGCACAGCCTGTACTGGTTCTGTGACCATCAGAAATTACAAATCCTTTTGGCTTATTCCTTGTCTTTAAGATGGAGGTGATACTTCTTTACCTTGTAGAAATAAGGCAAAGATCAAATCTGACACAATGTGTGTAAAGTCCTCAGCAGAAAACCTGGCATAAACCAAGTTCTCAATAGTTATACTTTGTTTTAGTTTCAATTAGGAAAGCTGCAGGGAGAAGGGTGTAGAGAAAAGAGATGTATTAATAGTAGGAGGATCGGGAGAATACCTCAAAACGAGAAACGAAGTCTTTCAGGTTTGGGAATTCATCCAGGCACTTGGGCTCAAATATGCGGTGAATGTCAAGAACGTCATAAACCAGGAAATCCACATAGGTGAGCTGCAGAAAGACAAAGCATGAATGTGCACCAAACTCTGAACCTCAGGAAAATGACAGCTCTCCCTCCCCTAAAGCCATCCCACTTACCTTGTCCCCTGCAAACCAAGGCCTCCTCCCCAGAAACTCTGAGTAGAGCTTCATCTTTCCAGGGATCTCCTTCAAGTATTGAGATTTTAGTTTCTCCTGAGACACAAAACAGCTGTCACTGCCCTCAGACACAGACTCCATGGCAGAGCAGGCCTCCTGGGGATGTGTCTGATCCCAGCTTCCAGGTGAGTAGCCATGTCCCCCGACTGAACCTGGGTTGGTGCCCAGCTGCCATTCAACCCACCTGTGTTCATCAGACTCCTATGGGGACCACCTCCCATCTTTGAGAGGCGATGGTAAGGCAAAAGGCAAAACCACACTGTCCCTGACCCTGTCACCGGTCAGCTCCAGACACCCGCCGGAGGTCAGACCAGCAGTGCTGTGAGACTTGGCAGAGCTCAGGCCTCAGACCTCAGGCTGATCAACACTAAGATAACTAGGAAAGAAGTCCTTTGTTCCAGTGTGGGAGACAAAATGATGTAGATTCCTGGACAGTTTCTGGACAGTTGGAAAGAATTGGAAGCTGAAAGGAAGGAGGGAAAGGAATAAAGTCTGACCCTGGGCTGCCCACTGGACACATGTCCTGATCCCTGAGATGTCAAGGAGGAAGCACTGGTTGAACTCATAAACCCCTATCTAGGATCTGAATTTCTACCCTGGGAGGCTGGACTCTACCCTAAGATTGATGGGAACTGAGTCCAAGCTTGCATTTCATGCACTGGGAGTTCTAAGGGTCACTCTCGGAACTCTGTAGGGACTAGTTTGGTGAATCAGTAGTTCTAAGGAGTTTAAATGGCAAAAGGACCCGTGTAGATGGGACCCTGTCCAACTCAGCAGGTGTGGACTCACAAAGTCAGGACTTTAACAGATCCTGACCATGTAGATGTAGACCCAGCCCTGCCCACCAGGCAAAATGGGTTTATGCCTGAAATGCTGAAGAGGAGGCATTGGGCTATCAAGGTAAACACCCCATCTAGGAACTGAATTTCCACCTTGGGGAGTCTGGATTCTATCCTTAGATCGGGGAGAACTGAGTCACAGCCTCTATCTCCTCAATTAGAGTTATGAGAATCACTCAGAGAGACTCCATATAGACCAGCTCAGTAGCTCCAAGGAGATCAAATTACAAAATGATCTGTGTATAAGGGATAAACTAATCTAGTCTCCTTTTAAAGCACATCCAGCACAGAGCAGCAGGAGGAGACTCACAAATTCAGGGTTGTAGCACAGTATAGCCAAGTCATTAGCAGTGTCCATAGCCTGGTTCTCCAATACATCCACGCGAATCTTCTCCTCCTCTGTCTCCCCACCTGTAGCCACACAACAGAGACTCACCCTCAGTATCCCCTCCCAGCCCAGCCCAGGGCACGGCCACCAGTATCCCTGCCCCCAACCCCAGCCCCACTCACACATGTTGTGCTTGCGAGCAATGTAGCGAAGGATGGCCTTGCTCTGGGTGAGCTTGTGAGATCCATCAATTAAGTAGGGCAACTAGAAGAACCACAAGGCCAGGTCAGGTGGGCCACCAGGCTCCCCTGCATCTGCTCCCTTGAGCAAGGGCAGAGATGAAATCTGGTACTCACAGAATCTGTCCCATGGTAGGCACTAAATAATATGCTGCAAAATGGAGGGATGAGCTGGGACACAGAGCATCATGGAAGGGCAGGGGAGAGAACCAGGAAGCTGAGAGGCAGAGCAGAATGCACCTGCTCCTGAAACCTCTAAGCCAGGAAAGGAGATGGATGGAGACACTGTCCACTCCCCCTCCCAGCACCCCAGCCCCTGCACCTACATTGGGGAAGTCCAGGCCCAGCTTGAACTTTTCATTCAGCCACTGGCTTCTGTCATAGTCGGGAGCTGAGAAAAAGAAGGTGCAGTGAAACAACCTCCCAGGAATCCAACCCTCCTTTTTAGGGGACCTACAAAGGAGTCAGGGGCAAGACCGCCCTGAACTGGTGGATCTGGAATCTGAACCACTAACCTCACATGGAGCTTTGAGGGGAAAAACAAATTTCCTGAAACTACATGAGTAATACTTACAAAGGATTTAGGTAAGCACTAGGGGGAGCCTGTGCCAATGGCTGATACAGGACCCAGCTGTGGGCTCTCATATCCTTCCTTGGAGGCCAGCTGCACCCTAAAGGGTTAGGGAAGGGGCAGGTCCCTGCTCCAGCTGATGGAGGGCGACAGACATGAACAACAGGGGTCAGGACGTGGGATGCTTGGCACCAAACCAGCATGAGTTGGGCAGAAGTCAGGACATGACAAGGATGCCATTACCGTCCCCCATCGTGTACTTCTTTTCCTCATAGTTTGAGTCTGTGTACTCCAGAAGCAGGCGGATGGCGTGGGCCAGCTGGGAGAGATGCCAGGACACAGGGCAGACATCAGGTCTTGACTGCAAAACTTTCAACGTTCCAGTCACTCCCATTCTCCCAACCCTCTCCCCCTATCCACCCACTTCGGAGCGCGCGCGCGCGCACGCGCACACACACACACACACACACACACACACACAGCTGGGAAGGAGGCGGCGGTGCGAAGGGGCTAGGCTGCAACGAGCAGAAAACATTTCTGGTTTACTGGTCCCCAACTGCGCAGCATATCCCCACCGGCCTCCATCCCACCCGCCCTAGCGGACCCCCGCTCACCCCGCGGATGTCCCAGTAACCCAGGGTCATTGCCATAGTCAGCGTCTCTTGATCGGGTTTCCAGCTCAGCACCGTTGATTTGGAAGTTTATCCGGTGCCTGGGTCAAGTCTGGGTGTGGTCTGAGTGAGGCCACGCCCCATCGCCTCTCTCCGTCCCGCCCCCAATTATTGCCCAATCTCCGAAGCTTCCTGGGACTCGGGGAACCCGGGACTCTTCAAAGAGCCATCTGCGCCCAGGGCTGTCGAAATAGTCCATATCCCTCTCCAGCCTCAAAATCGGGAGCCAAGCTCTGGACACCAGGACGCTGAGGGCAGCCTGGTTCCCGTGGCCAGTCCGATCAGCTAAATCGAGGGAGCTGGTAGTGAGCTCGGGAAACAAGCCTGAATCCTAACGACAGCACGAATCTTCCACCTCCCCTGCCCTCCCACGATCACTCAGACCTGTTCCTGGGTTACCGAGTTCCCTTGGGCTCTGGGAAGCTCTTAACTGTCAAGTTAAGACTAAGTGGGTGCCCCTCAAATCGAAACTCTAAATGAGCCGCTGGCACAGAAAGATCAGTACTCCAAGTAATCCTCACGCTCCCCTGACTCTCTATAATTCCTGACTGCAGCATATCTTCTAGAACAGACTATTAATGGGATACAAGAAACACCCAGGTCCAAAATTCTGTTCTGTACATCTGTGTCTCTTTTTCTGTTTTGCATATAGGGTTATCGTTACCATCTTTCTAAATTCCATATATATGCGTTAGTGTACTGTATTGGTCTTTATCTTTCTGGCTTGCTTCACTCTGTATAATGGGCTCCAGTTTCATCCATCTCATTAGAATTGATTCAAATGAATTCTTTTTAATGGCTGAGTAATATTCCATGGTGTATATGCTGATGGGTGGAGAGGGAGGTGGGAGGGGGGATCGGGATGGGGAATACATATAAATCCATGGCTGATTCATGTCAATGTATGACAAAAACCACTACAATATTGTAAAGTAATTAGCCTCCAACTAATAAAAATAAATGAAAAAATAAAATAAAAAAGAAAAGAAACACTCAGAAGGTGCAGGAAGAAGTTTGTCAGTGATTTCCTTTCAGGGACTAGAGGGGACTCATCCCTTCAGTCCTGTAGCTAAGAGTGATAATCATCAAATGTAAATTAATCAAGTAGATTTGTGGCCTAAATAATGAATCCAAATACAGAAACAGGCCCAGCAAAGAAGATATGCAGGTGCAACTCGAGAAATAACCCGGACAACCAGCTAGATGTCCTTCATTTTGGCTGGGTCAGTGACCTGGACTGTGGTAGTCACAGAGGGCTCTGAATGAAGCAGGGAGAGCTGTTCTTTGAGCAGCTAGGAGCCTCTCCTGCTGCAAGGGGGACCAGTAGGGGTGGCCAGCAAGGAGCCTGGAGGACACCACACAGGACTGCAGTCAGAGTGGGCCCAGCACAGCTTGGCTGTCCCAGTCCACAGATTCCTGCCCTGATCTTGACCCAGGTGTGGTTTTGTGTAACAGAGGGTGGCTCAGGTGGCCTTTGATGTCACTCTGTGATACAACCTCCTCACAGTGTCCTACCTGCCAACTTTCCTCTTTGAAGATTGAAGTCTATTTCAAAATTAGGAGAATAGGACAAGGTTGGCCTGTATTTCCTTTTCCCTCCTTTAAAGTACTCTACAAAGTAATGGATACACAAAAAGAGATGACAAGACATTTTAAAAACAAATCAATTTCACAAGTTAAAAGGCAAGCTTGGAACTCTACAGGAAAGTCAGTTTAAAATTAGCTAACACTTTTTAAGGATAGAAAGGTCCCAGTATTCAATAAAGGTTTCAGACCACCAAGATAAAGTGTGGAATGGGGGTTTGAAGAAGATAGACTTTCTCTAATTCATGTTAAGTCACAGACTCAGAGTCTACACATCTCTGCTAAGCTGGGGAGCAGGGAAAATGTGTCAGCAGAGACCAGCAGAGCTCAGTCCCTCTATGGATGCCCCTAGCCATTCCCACCCTGCCAGTCCTCAGGGCTCAACTCTGGGTCCAGACTCAGGAGGCAGATCAGGGAAAGCCAGATTCCCTTGTCATTTTGCCCAAAGGGAGGCAATAGTGGCTCTGGCCACACAAAAGAGATGCCTCTCTTAATAGTTATATTTTTCATATTATAAAGGAGTTGTCATTCTGAGATTTACACATCTTGAGCTTGGAAAAGACACATGACTGGATTCCACTGAGAAAATGACTTTATTAAAAACACTAAACAGAATAATAACAGTTAAAATATGTAGAACAGATATTGTTATGCTGGTATTCAGTCAGTCAGTCATTTATTTACAAAAATCATTGAAATTCTGTCATAGAGCAGCACTAAGAAAAAGAAAATTCCGGGTACTAAAGGCTGGAACTCAGCCAGGAAATACAAGGAGAGATTTTAAAACATAGAAGAGATTTTTAAGTGTTCAGAATCTCTGAGGAGCACTGAGAGAGAGGGGGTTGAAGGCAGGAGTAAGAGGCAGTGCCTGGAAGGACAAGGAGCTGAGAATGCAGGGATGGGCCCCGGGCACAGGTGGCCCGTCAGGAGGAAGAGGTCAGTCCTGCAGAAGGAGGAGGGCGGCTGGCCAAGCAGGCGCCCAGCCTCAGTCCCCAGACCCGGGGATCCCACTGGTGGGGGCAGTGAGTGTGTGGAAGGCAGTAGGGGGCAGTGGGGACTCTGGCAGAGGGGAAACCGGAGAGAGGGCAGAAGGGCATGATGCAACCAGTGGTTGCCTTGCTGAAATTCAGTGTTAAAGCGGCCACATCTTCTGGATTTACCTGCGCTCTTGCTTGACTGTAAGTATTGACAGGTTCTAATATTTTAGAGAACATTGTGCAGGACATCAGAACACATAGCGTCCAATATCCAGTCGAGAATCCTGCCTCTGATCTGACTCTGCACTGCACTCCATCCTTCCAGCTCTACTGCTGACGTTCCGAACTCCCAGAGTAAGTTAAAAATTCTATGTAAAATAGCCTCAGAATACAAACCAACACATTAAATACCAACAGTAAAAATAAATAAATAAATAAATACCAACAGTAGCATTAAACTGTGTCCTAATTGATAGTAATTTTTTAAAGGTTTTTAAAGTATTATCTGGATAAACTTTTGTAATCCAGGATATAAAGGATATTTTTTAATCAGAATAGAAAATAAAAACCATAATTTATAAGATCCTGTGATAGCAGTATATAATTTAAGATGGGGACTTTACAGGTGGTGCAGTGTTAAAGAATCCGCCTGCCAGTCCAGCATTCTTGCTTGGAAAATTCCATGGACAGAGGAGCCTGGTGGGCTACAGTCCATGGGGTTGCAAAGAGTCAGATGTCATAGTTTTAAGAACAAACAAATATAAGCAAAGGCTTCAAGAATTTAAACAGGAATTAAATGTAAAATAACTAATACGTGGAATTGTATTTCTGTGTGTTTCTGTTCTGTCATGTTTTGTGTTTCTAGGAACATCTTCATTTTATCTAGATTATCCAATCTGTTGGCATATGATTGTAATATTCTGTTGCAATATTTTTATTTCTGTAGAATCAACAGTCCTGTCCCACTTTCATTTCTAATTTTAGTAATTTGCATCTTCTCCCTTTTTTCTTAGTCTGGCTAAAGGTTTGTCAATTTTGTTACTTTCATAAATCTTTCAAAGAAATTTCTTTAAAATTTTCATTGATTTTCTCTATTGTTTTTCTATTTTATTTTTCTATTTATCTCTCCCATAATCTTTATTATTTCCTTTCTTCTATTTATTTGGGTTTAGTTCTTTTCCTAATTTCTTAATTTATAAAGTTAGGATGTTTATTTGAGATTCTCTTATTTTTAAAGTAGACATTTCTAGCCCTAAATCTCCTCCTTAGCAATCCTTTTGCTGTGTTCCATAAGTGTTTGCATTCTGTGTTTTCAGTTTCTCTCCTCTCTAAGTGTTTGTGATTTCTTATTCTTTGTTGTTATTGTTCAGTCACTAAGTCATGTCTGACTCCTTGCAACCGGATGGACTGCAGTATGCCAAGATTCTCTGTCCTCCACTATCTCCCGGAATTTGCTAAAATTCCTGTCCATTGAGTCAGTGATGCTATCTAACCATCTCATCCTCACTTGTACCCTTCTCCTTTTGCCTTAAATCTTTCCCAGCATCAGGGTCCTTTCCAATAAGTCTGCTCTTTGCATCAGGTGGCCAAGGTATTGGCGCTTCAGCATCAGTCCTTTCAGTGAATATTCAGGGTTGATTTTCTTTAGGATTGACTGGTTTGATCTCCTTGCAGTCCAAGGGACTCTCAAGAATCTTCTCCAGTACCACAATTTGAAAGCCTTCTTTAGGGTCCAACTCTCATATTGGTACATGACTACTGGAAAAACCATAGCTTTGACCATAGGGACCTCTGTTGGCAAAGTGATGTCTCTGCTTTTTAATATGCTGTCTAGGTTTATCATAGCTTTCCTTCCAAGGAGCAAGTATCTACTAGTTTCATGGCTGCAGTCACCGTCCACAGTGATTTTGGAGCCCAAGTAAAGAAAATCTGTCTCTGCTTCCACTTTTTCCCCTACTATTGGCCTTGAAATGATGGGACCATGTGCCATAATCTTAGTTTTTTTCAGTTTGAATTTATACCAGCTTAATTCAAATAGCTCTTAAATACTTTGCTCTTATATATCTCTGTCCTTTCTCTTTTGATTATTGGTGTCACAAAATTACATTTTTATGCACACGTGTCCAAAAGCATAGACTAATAATTCTTCTTTAATGGACTAGTCTGTTTAATTACCATGATATTGAATGGTTTGCCTTGGAAACGAACAGAGATCATTATGTCGTTTTTGACATTGCATCCAAGTACCATATTTTGAACTGTTTTGTTGACCATGATGGCTACTCCATTTCTTCTAAAGGATTCTTGCCCACATAGTAGATATAATGGTCATCTCAGTTAAATTCACCCATCCCAGTCCATTTTACTTTGCTTTGGCTCTGTCTCTTCATTCTTTCTGGAGTTATTTCTCCACTGATC